TATAGCTCCTTGGATCCCGGTAGGCTTTCTAGCCCGAGGTAATACTTAGTAGCAAGTAGTTTCTACTAGTTATTTTTCCTGGAATTACTAATTTTTAATTAAGAGAAGCCTATTTTCTTATTCTATATATTACTTAGTAAGATTCCTAGAAGTATTAAACTTCTTATTACCTAAGCTCTTAAATAGCTCGAGATTTATTTTATTTATTAAGTTATTATATTAGTTATCTAGTAACTTCCCTAGTTTTATTATTAAGCAAGTAAACTTTACCTAGAATACCGGAAATAGCTTATTTCCTTATCTCAGGTACTAATATACCTCTTTTACTTCCTAGTACTTTATCTTTTTGCTTTTACTATAAGCTTATTAGAGGATCTTAAAAATCTATTTAGTAATTAAGATTTATCTAACTAATCCAGGTTCTAGTTAATTATAAATAAAGTTACAGGTATCTCTAGTAACTAGTTATATTATATAAGTAATCTTTAGTAATTTACTATTAAATTCAGAGAAGTTCTATATTAGTTTATTTCTTATATTAAATATCTAGTTATTAATCTAGTAATTATCCTTACTTATAAATAGGGCAGGATCCTTAATTCTAATAAGTTATAATTAATTACTATAGATAGAAAGCGGGAAAAAGCCTTAATATTAGTCCCTAAATAGTTCTTCTAATAGGGATCTATAGTATTCCTAAATATCTGCTTACTTGGATCTCTACTTTATTACTTTTTCTTATACTAGTCTTTTCCTTATATAAAGTCAACCGGTAATTATCTTTAGCTTATTAACTTTTTTAATAAGTTAGTTAATATATAAGTAGAATTTCTAGTAATATTCTGCTTATTTATTAGCCGCAAGGTAATATTTATTAATAAGGTTATCCCGTATAAGTAATCTTTACTAGACCTTATCTATTTTCGAAGTATTTATACTAATTTTGAGTTCTAAGTTAGCTAGCTACTTCTTAATATCTTTTTCCGGAATAGTATTATAATAGCTTTCCTAGTAATATGAGTTTATAATATTAAAATCCGGCTTTTCTATTTTATTATACTAGGGCCTCTTATCTAATATACTTATAATAATAGTACTTAGCCCCGGGCTATCTATAATAGCTTTAGAAAGGGTATTAGTTATAGAGATAAGTACTAAGTAAGTTCTTCTTATTTAATATTAGTAAACTATAACTAATTATTATCTTATCTAGTTTTAAGTTAGTAAACTAAAACCGACTATTATCTTTTCTTGTTTTAAATTAGTAAATTATTACTAATTCTTCTTATACTAGGGAAAGGGGCTAGTTCTTTTATTCTCATTAGTATTAAGGGAATATTATTTACTCTAGTTAAAAGTCAGGCTCCGAGATTAACCAGATTATAAAGAATAATATCTTTCTTCTTTTATATTAGTAGAGAACTAATTATTAAGAGAGAAATATTATCTGCTCTAGTTAAGAGTCAGGCTCTAAGATTAACTAGGTTATAGAAGACATTATACTTCTAGTTAAGCTCTCTAGTTCTTTATAGTTTAAGAAAATTATTAAATATTAAAAGTAGTATTTTGTTTTTACTTTCTAAGAATAAATACAGGTTCTTTACCGGTAATATTATATTGCCTCTATAGGCCGAATTAAGTAAGCTTAGTATTATATAATAGCGGGATTAATATAATAATTAAAGGCTCAAAGTTTAAAGAATCTTATATATTAGAAAATACTAAGCTATAGAATAAAGTAAGGAGAATACCTTAACCTTTAATATTATTCCGTCCAAGTAATTCTGGCTTAGCTTTATTTTATACCTGTTTCTAATATCCTATTCTTAGTAGATTATATCCTTATACTAGCTATTATAATTACCTTATATAAAATATTATTAAGAAGAATTTCGAGAATAATCTCGAGAAACTATAGCTACTTTTTCTAGAATATAAATATAATAATTGCTCTTATTTTATTATTTTTACCTCGGAATCTAATCTTATATATATAAAGTAATATATATTAGGATTTAAAGAATATTTAGCAAAATTTACTAGTATATATAAGACGAGTCTAGTATCTAGTATATTTCTTTACTTTTCCAAGTAGTATTACTAGGAGCTTTATATTATAATACTAAATAATAATAAGCTTTATATATTACTATAATTACGGGAATAGCTTTATATTTAGAAATTACTCGAAAACCTGCCCGAAATTCTATAGGATCTTAAAACTTCAAATAATCCCGAAGTTCTATAAGATTCTATAATAGCAAATTCCCAAACTAGTAATTAATAAATCCTAGTTATTAAATATAATAAATCCTTATTATTATATATTCAAGAAAATATTAAAAGAAAAGAATAGGAAAACTAATTATACTTAAAGGAAATAGTTAAGGTAAATTATATTAAGAAAATTAAAGATAATATACTAGTTCTAATAAGAAATATATCCTATCTCGACTTTATTCCTAATAAGGAAATTCCCTAATTACTAAAAGAATAGCAAACTCCTAAAAAAATTATTATAATTTCTAATAATTAGAAAATATATAATACTAGTCTAATTTCCCTAGTTATATAACAAATATTATAACTTCTAGCTATTTATACGGGCTCTGAGATAAGATTAATAATAACTATAGCCCAAGCTAGTAATAATAGTTCTTAGTTCCCGAATACTAATATATTTCCGACTTCCGATTATATTACTATATATGGTTTTTTAATAAATAATTTAATATAAGAAGATATATATTACTAATTCTCTCTTACTATAAGTTAGTAATCCCAAGTTTAGTATTTATCTCCTATATTAAGTAATTATTTCTAATATATAATTATATATCCTATACTAGTTTCTAATTTTGGTCTCGCCTTGCCTCTATACCTAAATATAGCAGATTTCTACTATTATTAGTAGTAATATAATTCCAGGCTATAATAATATCTTCCTTATTTCCTATAAGAATACTATTAAGGTTTATAGTTTGGCTGAAACTAAAGACTACTAGGAAGTAGTTAATTAGGGTACTAGAAAATATTAAATAGCTATTACTTTTATAAGACATAATAATAATATATATTTAATACTTTTTATTTGCTTTTCTATTAGAGGCATTATAGATTATATACGAATATATTAACTTTATAATAGGAATATTACAATTAGTATATTAAAGCAAATATATTATATGGCAAGATAGTATATATATAAATAAGCGAGGCTTTATCCTACTTAGCTAGTTTTTAGACAAAGAACTCAATGAATTATCCTTTACTATATATATAGCATTTAATAATAAGTAAGCTATCTAGTATTAGTAAAGACAAGCTTAAGATCTCTCTATTTAAGTATATTATCTAGTTATATAAGATTATGAGAGAAGGATACTAAATAGAAATTATTATAAGTATTAGCTTATAGAAGAGGCAAAGGTAAGGATATATAGAGATTTCTAGAAAGAATAGGGAATTAAGTATACTAAGGAGAAGGTTTTATAGTAATTAAATTAGTAAGAAAAAATAATCTTAATTAGAGAAAAGCATATATACTACTATAGGATTAAAGTAATACTTGCCTAAAGTTAGCCAAAATCCATAATAGTTTTTAAATTCAATTTCGGAAAAAGTAAGTAAGTAGTATAGCGGATTAACTTATATACTTTACTAGGTGAGTTATAAGAATACAAATAAGAACTCACTAGGTTATTTCCATATTACTCTTAACTTAAAGAAAATCGACTTTTTAATTTAGGATAAAATTAATATTATAGCGCTTTATAATAGTTTAGAAATGCTTTTATTAGAGAGTTAAGAGATTAATTAGTTCCTAGCTTATAAAAGAACTTAGAATTAGAATTTAGAGTTTATAAAAAGTTCAAGAAATAGTAAGAGTTCCTTACTTAGAAATACTTTAGAAAATAATAAATGAATTACTTATTAATATATTATAAATAAGATATAATAAATCTATATTTTATTTATTATATTATAATTAGTTTAATTTAAAATAGTAAAATAAAATAAAGTTTATTATAATATAAATTAAAACTATTATATATTTTATATAATTAAAAATTATATTATTTATAATATATAAAGCTATATATTATTAAAATTATAAACTTTTATTTTATTTACTTAATTAATAACTTTCAAGCTATAAAGGATTTATTATAATAAGAATTTAGGAAATAGTTACATAACTAGTTATATATATTTATTTATATATTTCCTTTTATATAGCTTTTTCTTTACTTTTTCTCTTTCTTTTAATAAGCTATATTCTAAGTACTCGGGTTTATATTATTATTTTACATTTTTATATCTTCTTCTTTATAATAAGTCAAAATTTAATATATTATTTAATTAAGCACGCGTGACTTTCTTTAACTTTTTCGTATTTTATATAATTAAAAATTAAAAAAGCATAAATTATTTATATACTTTAAAATCCGATTATTAATTAACTACGAATTTACTTAAAAATCGGGCTAACAGGTTTTGTTTGCTTAGTTCTACTCTATAATTATCCGACTTAATATTAATTAATCAGGGTTATAGTTAAAAATATTGCTGTGGGCGCCAAATGGCGACCATTTTTGTCGTTTTTGGATCGGACCGACTGTATATAGACAAGAAGTTAATACCGAACGATAATTCTATCTAGTTACCTTGAGAATGGTTAATTTGAACCCCCTATAATCTCACCCGGTGGGTCCATACAAATAAGCAGCTGCGCTATAGACTCGGAAGGGAATGCAACCCCTCCATGTTTCCGAGCTCAAGCGCTAGGGGTTTCCGATTTCTAGCTCCAGCCTAAATGATGACGGTGGTTACCGAAAAGTGGGTAGCCCGCTGTCTTCCTCGCACTTGGGAACCCTCACCTCTTCATAAATGCTCCTCACTCATATCTCTCTTGCTTGTCGCTCTCAACCCTGTCTCCCCACTCAATAGCAATTACCTTCGACCACCCGTTATAAAAGATACATTCCCAATTAATCAATATGACGACGAAGGGAAGCTGCATGTGCGGCTCCGTAAAATATGAGTTTACCGGTACACTGGTTTCCTCCCCTTTCGCATCCAGTTGCTGTCGAAATTAAAGGCTGACGATGAATAGGAGGACCGGCAGTCAAGGCCATCTGCCACTGTACCGATTGTCAAAAATGGTCTGGCGGTGCCTACACCACCAACGTCGGTGTACCACGCACATCATTCACCCTCCTCTGCGGCAAAGACCATTTAAAGACCTACGACGCCACAGGCGACTCGGGAAAAATCAACAAACATTACTTCTGCAGCAACTGCGGAAGCTCGCTGTACACAGAGCTGGAAGTCGTGCCAACCATGATGTTCATCAAAGCCGGTGGACTGGATGGTGGGAAGGCTGATTTGGGGAGCGTGGATGTGGAGTTGTATGTCAAGGATCGAGTTGGGTTTTTGGGTGAGGTACAGGGGGCGAAGCAGGATCCCAAGATGGAATACTGAGTCGTGATATAATTACATCCTCTTTTACCCTCTTAGCTCTCTAAATACATCCGCGAGCAACTCTTGTCTCCCAGAGCATAGTTCCCGCCAGCGAACCAGAAAGCCAGCAATGGCTGACTTCGAACCCCGCTCCTTGTAGGTATCCAAGAGCACCACCTGCCTGGCAAAGAAGCGTTGGTCTTATACTTGATCTTCTCCTCTTCTAGAATTTGAAATGGCTTCTCAGCCAGTTGGAACTGCTCGTTAACCTCGTCTTGCGAAAGTCCAAGGTTTATGAGATAGAAGAAGCTATCAGTCTGAATGGCATCCTTGAGCTGTGCAGCAAGACGTTCTTTGCCACCAGGGTTGCCAATGTCCGAGAGATCGAGGGTGACTGGATCCGCCGAATCCAAATCTTCCTTAGTTACTGGCATTTTTTGTTATGAAGTGGCAGCCTTGGGGACGAGGTGGCGGTGCCGGAAGGCATGATCGCGTGGTGCTTGACTCTTACGAGACAGCAAACGTCTCGATAACTCCATGGGAAAGAAGTCAAGTAGGAAGAGAAGTTGACTGAGAATTCCACACGCACGACATTTAAGGGCTTAATATCGCATCAGAGTCGGGGTTATGATCTCTACAGAATCTGCCCATATTCTCCAGCACTGGGGCAGATTTTGGGCAATTGGCGGAAGACCCCAAGGTCCGGTTCTGCGCGAGGTGCCGACCCCCGCGGCCCGCCTCTCCGTATACTCGAGTTTCTCACAAAGGAACATACGCGGCAGAATTGGTACTGGCCTACGGGGGTTGAATCCGCTCCGCTGCCGCTGGGGATGAATGTAGTAAGCGGGTTATCTCTTTCTCCCCAACGCTTTCGGGGCAGACAGAATTGAAAATCTGGCTGACCCGTAATATCAAGGAAACTCAAGGCGGTGAAGGGTGCCGTAAGCTTACCCCGCAGTGTTGCGGCGCGGTCCTCGAGCTCTCGCCGTAAGCATACGCTCTACCTTTTTCTTTATAGGCTAAAGGCCTTTAATTCAAGATTAGACACTAATACTACACCATTGACAGGTTCTAGCATGTTGCCCACTGCCTCCCCTACCACCTCCGCCGCCGCCCGCACCTCTTCTACCTCCTCTAAGTTATCCCGAGCTTTAGAATACCCCTGCGAGTACTATATAAGTAGTATAAAGAATCTTTGGCCTACTAGTATAAAGAGCCCTCGAATTCCGCCCCGGCAAGGTTTTAAAAAGTCTAGATAGGGAGAGAAATAATTTAAAAGCTATAATTAAGATACGAAAGGGAGAACTCAGCACTAGTAGCTTATTATAACTATATAAAGAGTACTCTAAAAGTCCCTTTTATAAAGTGTGTTATTATACCTAATTTCTTTAATATGCTGAACAGGTGCCTTTTGTGAGATTACTCCTTTTAAATCAGCTATAAGGAATGCAAACCGATTGATGGCTTTGCTTCTTTCCTATGTATCACGCCTATGGTAAGTTAAATGGATGATTAGTGGAGGATTTTTGATACTGATTTGAATGGGGTAACCATTCTTCGTTGTGATTGCACTTAAATGTGGTGTTCTAGTATACATTATGCTGGAATACGACTTCCTCCGATCTCTCACTCATATCCAGCGATTTATGATCAGAAGCTTGTCATTGTGCCCCTTATAGCAATTGCACTTACAAAAATCCACCCGTTGAAGAATTACGATCTTTCGTCGATTAAAACCATTAGTAGCCATGCTGTTGACCTAAGGACTACCACATAAGTCAAACTTAATTTTTTTTTTCGCTGGTTCCGTTTTAATGTTTAGACGTGAGCAGCTGCCGCTTTAACCTGAGCCGAGGGTGAGAATTCCCGAGCATGCCTGAGCTCAGCCTGAGCTCGGCCTGAACAACCTGAGTACACGGCAATGTCAGCCTGAGTATGTACTAAGAGGCTATTTTAGCTCCCAAAGGGACCCGTTCTGGCTCCCTTAATGCTCGGTTACACTTTCCTCGTCTTGTCTCCAAGCACAGATCCATTTTGGCTCCCTTGCGACCGAGATTCCTCTCGAGCTATTTTGAATCTACACTCGCTTATACCTGCTGTACGACTATTTGTTACACAACTATTTGTTGCATAATGACTTCTCATATAACTACCTGTTGTATAATAACTTACTATACAACGATTTATTATAAAATGAGTTGTTGCACAATTAACTGTTATATAAGAACGTGTTTTCAGAGAATTTAAACTGGGACTTTTTAGCTGACAGACCCCATACTCCCCCAGAGAACGAGTTCGTCTTTCAAGAACGAAATAGTATCGTAATGAACCAATAGATCTTCATTCGAGGTTACCTCATTAAGATAAGAAAGAGTCCTCAAATAGTTCTGATTCCTGACTCCGAAGCGGCTACATCGTTTGTATTCCCCTAGCGCTATCGTGCGTGGATATATGGCTTAATTGTACTCGAAGCCTCTTGCCCAATATAGTTACATTATAATTGAACCGCTCCAAAGACTGGTAAATATCTAGCAGGAATAGAAAACAGCAATCGCAAGGGTCATGATTCGGGGTGGGAGAAATGGGTTAGAAAGTGCCGAAATAGCAGAGAATCTTATTGGCACTAGTCCTGCTCGCTTTTCTGAAAATACCAATATTTAAACCTTATTTAATCGTTTAAACAATGTGACTATCCCCCTCGTTCAAGTTTGCAAGCTCCACCCTGACATCTTGAATGTCAAATCGAGTCATCGGATTTTTGTCTAACATACGGGTCACGACCCAGTGTGTATGTTCCTGTGGAATGCATCTAGGCGAATAGATGTCGTGGAGTGTGGCCATGAACTGCACAGACTCGTTTGCAATATTGCAAGAAGAGTTCTCGGCGGTATTTGTGAAACTATTCCACAGTTTCTCGAGACCCGATAAACCAGACCTTGTGACGGCAAGTAGCATGGCAAAGCAGCATCCTAATTGCCATATATCTGCCTTGAGGCTGCTTTGCATGTCTTCAGTCTCTAACAGCTGCTCGGGAGCGAGATATTCGTAAGAAGACCTCCTGGGATCAGTAGGTGCGCCAGCTCTGTAGACTTTGGTCTCTCCAACGTCTGTGACGATAGGCCTAATAGTACCTGTCTCTTCTATGTATAGAAGAATGTTCTGTGGTTTTATATCCTTGTGCTTGATCGACCGCTCATGGAGGAAGGCAATGGCGGCAACAATGTCAAGCATTATGTGGTAGATGCAACGACCAGAGCTTATAACATTCGGCTCGAACCACGGGAATTCGATCTTTCGGCGAGCATCAGTGGTAAGAAGAAAGTTCCAGAGCGTGGAGGGTGCCCAGGGTGCCATAACAATAGTGATTGTATGAGGATCGTCGTGAACCTTGAATGCTTCAACTAAGGTGATGAGATTGCGGTGTACGCAAAGCTCTAGGCAGCCGACCTCTCTTAGAATCTTACTTCGATCCCGATGAGATAAAATGTTATGAAACGACTTTGCTGCAAAGGATTCGCCAGTCGTTTTGTGGAAAGCTTTTCGGACGGTTCCGAAGCTACCGGAAGCGGGAACAGTCGACTTGTCGACAATGTAAGGAGGGGCGTCGGACGCCGAGTAGGAGTGGATGTACCGTGGACGGAATGCATCAATGTAACGATCGATAAAACTAGCAAATTTTGGCCTATATGAGAAGTTACTATGTAATTCCAGCGGATGCAATAGCAGAAGACATCTGCCAAGAGCTTACCCTAACTCGATGGCAAAAACTGATGGAGGAGGAGGTGCTGCTGATGGCAAGCCCCATCGATAGTTGCGTGACGTTGCACATGGACCAGACCACGGAGAGACAAGTTGAGTGAGCTCGTCAGCTAACCGGAGCCTCTTGACCTTGTCGGAAACAGTCTCGCCACTGTCTACCCGATGTGGCCCCCCCACGAGAAACATCGATGCGTATACCGCGTTGATCGCACCATCGTCGCCATAAAGTTTAATGTTTTGATCTGTGCAAAGGTCGAGGAGAGATAAAGCCTCGCTGAGGAGCTCCTTCACAAGGCGCAGCTCGTGGGTATGGGTTGAGGCATGATGCAGATCCACGTTCAGATGCGTGATGTGTGTCGAGAAATATTCTACCGCAGCGACTAACTGTCGAACACGATCCTTCACTAGGTCAATCAGTGGTGAATCCGGCGGGGAAGGTTGTGAGGCCCAGTTCTCGATACGAGGGCAAACCTCTGCGATCTTGAGAAGCGTGGCGGAGAGTTCAGAGGGCAAAGTGCCATTAGAGGCTGCCATTTTGTGTTTTGGTGTTGCAAGTTGCCTCGTCACGAACAACGTGACGACGCGTTTGCTATGGTGCTGACGTAGCTCGGAGGCCTTAGGCATTAAAATCCAGTACTAGGCAAAATCACATGACGAGCTGCTCAGCTGGCTGAGCCAAGGGTGAGCCAAGGGTGAGCCAAGGGTGAGCGGAGGGTGATTAGCGCCTGGGCAAGAGCGGCAAGCCTACTAACCGACTACGGGACGAGGAAAAATAAAGTTGTATTCAACTACCATTGCACACGAAGCCGACAAACCCTGGCGACCTGAGCAACTGACCGACAAGGCAAGACTGGGGTATGGCTGAAATTACCTGCTCTGTTGCGGGGTGGGATCCAAACCTGACTTCGATCGCTGCATCTATTGGCAAACCGCTCCCGAGCTGCGAAGCATGTATAGTGTTACGCTCTGCCGCTTCACTAGTAACTTTAGCGTCACGTGATCGCGATGACGCATACGGCTGGCTAGTATTTAGAACACCAAAGTTCCCGCACTTACGAGCTTCCCTCCTTAGTTTAGAATCCTCGGAATAGAGCCACTCTACCTCGCTTTCCAAGCCCAGAGACCCGGTCTCGTGACATATAGCGTCAGATGAAAATAAACCCCAGGATGGGTATTGAACTGGGATCGATTTATCGATGGAAAATCGATATATTGGAGATTGACAATCTGTAGAATGACTAGTTTTGACTAGATACAGGAGAGTGATTCCATAAAAAAAACAGAGGGAATGGGTTCCCTAGCTATATTCCTGATTTCCACCCCACCATGTGATTTACCCCGCACTTACTTAGTGGTGGGAACGATTTACTAATCTGATTCCTGAACGTATGTTTAAGGAACGTAATCGAATAGTAATACTAATAAATAATTGGTGTATTCGTATGTAAGTAATACCCAATAATCGGACGAACTGAATTAGTAATTAAACCTGGAGTGAAAGGAAAGAATACTAGCCAAGCTAGCTAGTTTAATACACCTCCTTCTTATAGTCGAGGTTTAATGTTAGTGAGACTAATAATACCTAGCTTTAAACGTAGTAGTTTAAAAGCGGGTCTAGCTAATGGTTTGGTAAGAATATTAGCCATTATTTCTTGTATAGGAATATACTTGAGCTTAATATCCTTGGTATTAATATAGTCCCTAATAAAATAATATCTAATATTAATATACTTAGTTTTCTGAAGAAATCATATATTTATAGCTAAATTAAGAGCTCCCTGAGCGTCTATTTTTAGTTTGATTAGTCCTATAGGAATTAATATTTCTTTAAATAGTTACTTTAGCTATAGGGCTTCTTTAACTACTAGAGTAAGAGTAATATACTTCGCTTTTATAGTAATAGTTACTATAGTTTTCTGTTTAGTACTAGCCTAGCTAATTACTTTACTAAATAGGGTAAAAACTATACCGGAGGTTAATTTACAGTCCTATAAATTGCCTTTATAATTAGTATCTAAGTACCTAATAAGTTCTTCTTTAGATAAAGTATTATATAGAATACTTATATTAAGTAATTCCTTAATATATTATATTATATACTTTTATATAAAGCTATAAGAAGCTTTAGAACAAGAATTAGAATATTCTAAATACCTAATAATATAGCAAAAATCGGGTCTTAATACTAGGAATAGCTATATAAATAATCTCGTATAACTTTAATATTCTATAATATTAATATCTTTCTTTTCTAGAACTATAGCTTGAGCTATTAGTATAGAAATAGGAATGAAATCTTCTATTTAATATCTTTAGAATATATCTATAAGATATTGATTTTGGTATAGAAATATAGAATTATCCTAAAAATATATAATTTCTATATCTAGAAGTATTTTAATTTCTCTTAAATTAGTTATATTAAATTTCTAATAAAGTTATTTCTTAATTTTATTAATTTAAGTTATATTTTTACTAATAATAATTATATTATTTATATAAATAATAATTAGAAGAGATAGCTAATTAATATTATACTTTTGAAATATATATAGGACTAGATTATAAAATAATCTCAGGAAACTAATAATATAAAAAAAACTATTAATTACCTAATTTTAAATCCTAGAAGCTTATTTTAATTTATAAATACTTTTTTATAAGTAATAAATTAGGTTAGTACCTTTAATAAAACCAGGAAATTATTTTATATAATATTCTTCTTTTAATTTCCTATAGAAAAAGACTATTTAGATATCTATTTACTAAATATAAAGCCTATATTTAGCTATTAAGGCTAATATAATATATATAGTAAAAAGCCTAGCTACTAGAATAAAGGTTTTAAAGTAATTTATATTATATTATTAGATATAGCCTTATATTACTAGCCTTAATTTATAATATCTATTAGCCTTAATTTTAAATAACTAATAATATCTAATAGTTTTTTAGTATTTTCTAATTACTAGATCCTATATATAATTATATATATAGGATTATAGCTCTTTCCTAATAAAAGATTTTTAAAGATAGGTATTAGAACTAGTAAAAGCTTTATTAATTAATATTAGAATTTTAGAAGCTTTAGTATTCTAGTTAATAACTAGTAAAATATGAGAATTAGGCTATTTCCTAATAATTCTAGTTAATTTCGAATATCTAGGAATTAATTTATTTCTAACTAGAACTATTTCGGGAAATATAAGTATTTTTTAAATTATAGAACCTAAATTAGAACTACTTATAAATAGTTCTAGTTCTTGGTTATTATTTCTAAATAGGGGCTTAGGAGCTTTATTTAAACTAGAAATACTTTTAATTTAGTTATATAATATATTTTAAGTAATATTTCCTTTAATATTAGAATAATTTTCTTAATTATTTTCTAATAAAATATTAAGCTATTAATTTCTAATATTAATAATAATAGTATTTTTATAAATTATATTAGGATTATATATATTATTACTAGAAGTATTATTATAATCTTTAGTAGTACTAACTAGTTTTTTATATAGCTAGGATACTAGATTTAAGAAATATATTTTCTTAATATATTCTTTAATAATATAATAGTTAGAAATAATAAATATCTATTTATATAAGTTCCAAATATAATATCCGGAATTATTATAGCTAGTAAAAATGCCCCTAAAGGCCTTGGCTATATACTTATATTATAAGGCTATTTTCTTAGGTATATAAATATATACTAAGGAATTAAATATTTATAAGTTAGAAATATTCGGTTTAATTCTATAAAATACTTTATATAAAATTATACTAATTTTGGGTAGGTAATATTAATTATAGGTATAAATTTTATATATAGTTATTTTTTCCTAAAACTTATATAATAAGCCTAATTATTCTAGCTTTATATATTTTATTTTAATAATTATATATATACTATATTTAGAAATACTATTCTATTTAGATATATAAGTAATTATTAGTTTTAGATAAATATTTTTTAATTTATACTAGTTCTTAACTTAACCTAATATAAATTCTAGAATATTATTAAGATATAAGTACTTGACTTTATTCCTAGTTTAGGTTTTAGAGAAAATTACTTAATATTAAAAATCTATAAAATAGCCCTTTTTATTCGAATTATATATTATTATATAATATTTAGTACTTTTATAAATAGTAGAAAGTATATAGGAATTCTTACTAAGAAATAGAACCTTTAATAGCTTTTATAAGTTAATTATAATATACTTTTCTAGAAATAGTTTTTTAGGATATAGCTTAGTTATACTAGCCCTAGTAATTTTACTTATATTATATAGATTATAATTAAATAGGTTTTAGTTCTTAAATTAAAGCCTATTAATATAGTTTACTAATTCCAGAATATATTTTATATTTAGATATTTATATTACTAGTACTATATTTCTAGGGAGGCTAAAGCTTCCGATTTTAATACTTTTAGGATATATCCTAAACTAAATTAGTTAAGCTAATATAGCCTTATAAAGAGGCTAAAGGTACTAGTTATAATAGTTATTTCTTTATTAATAATTCGGATATTTTCTTAAGAAAATATAATATTATTTTTAGCTTATATAATTTTGGGAATTAATAATAAGAAGTTATTTCGGAATTAAGAGCTATAAAATATATTACTAAGCTAAATTTTTAGCTTTAGTTTAGTAATTAAAAGAATAATTTCTTTTCCCTTAATTAGAATTATTAATTTATTATTAAGGGTAATTAGAAATAAATTAATCTTTTTATAAATAATAAAAGAGCTTTTACTTTCTATAAAATAATTTATAATACCCGAATTAATATATTAGATATTCGTAAAATTATTAGATAATTACTTACTAAAGAAAGTACTAAATATTATTTTTTTACTAGTATAAACTTTTAGATATATAAGTACTTTAGGATTAAAAGATGCCTTTTTATTAATAAAATTAGTATTTTTTTCTTTAAAATTATAGAATTCTTAAGCTAATTTATAGCTTATATAGTTCTTAATATTATACTTTTTATACTTATAAAATATATAATAGGTATTTGGATTTTTAGAATATTTTAGTTTTTTGTTTTTATTTTTAGACTAATTTCCTAATTAATTTCCTTAAGTAGCTAGTATTTTTAAAATAAAATTAGAAATAGAATTAGGGATTTTATTTCTAAGTTTATTTTCTTTAATAAAAGTATTTATTTTAAGTAATTCTAGCTTTAGTTTATTAATATTAGCTCTAATAAAATTTAGAAGAAATTTATAAAAATTATATTTCTTTAGAAGGCTATAAATTAGATATCCGGATATAGAAATATCTGAAATTAATTTATTTATATTCTTAATTTTAGCTATTTTATAACTAATATAATTAATAAAGTTATTTATTTCTTTATTAGAATTAAATATAATAGTTTCTAACTATTAAAAATATAAAGCTTTTTTCTAAGCTTTTAGCTAGTTTGCTTTAGCTTAAATCTGGGTCTAGATCTAATATATAAGCTTAATTTCTTTAAATTATTACTAGATATTATAGGTAATAAATAGATTTAGTATTAT